TGTCGCTGTCGTTGTCGTTGTCGTTGTCGTGGTCGTGGTCGTGGTTGTGGTCGTGGTCATCGTCGTCGTCGTTGTCGTTGTCGTTTTTGTTGTGGTTGTCGTTGTTGTTGTTGTTGTTGTTGCTGTTGTTGTTGTTGTTGTATTTTGAATTTCCTTGGGCCCGCACTCTAAAAGCCGGAAATTCTGATGGCACAGGGGAGCTCCTGGCAAAAAAAGAAGCGCGTCAACTAAGCATAGGGATCTACCGCCCTCTACGTACAGGACTTTGCATTGCTACGCAGAAAAGGGACACCTAAAGCTTGGGAGCATATGAGCATGACGCATAACGGCACGGGTGTCCTTGCGCTGACACATAGCTGATCGCATGTACCTCATGCTCGTCAGACGCATTTACTGAACTGGCTCTCGCTTTGCCCAAGCCAACCTACTGTTCTCTCTTTCCTGTCACGCTCAAAATAGAGATCCAAATCATGATGTACAAAGAATGTCATGTCAAGCTCATTTCTTCTCGGGAATTGGCCAGTGCTGCGCGCAAGCCGAGATTCCGTTTTTGCCGCATCATGGCGCAAAAAGGCGCGTGCGTTCCGCATTGATGCTCTCCCTTTTTGGCAAGCGAAATCTCGCTCACCCCTGGCCAATTCCACCATGCACTTCTGGTGCCAACAAGCGCTACAGACTCCTGGCCCATGTACATGAGGTCAAAACAAACAAGAGATCGGTCTGCACTGGCTCCATGACAGCCTTCGTCTGAACATATCAAGCCCAAACACCTGTAGCAGCAGTCGTGAATCGCCAGCACAGGAGAAAGCGATAATCTCGTGGGCTAAGTTTCCAGGCGGCTGAACTTAGGAACCTGCAAAAAGCATTTCTGAAAGTGAAAAACAATCAAACCAATGATTTGACATGCAAAAATGAGACTTGAACATTGTCACAAAATGGATCAACATGTAGGTTTGATTCCCCACATTCAGTGTGGGGTTCTAATGGTTTCGATGTGCGTCGCCCGGCACTCGCAGCGTGCTCTTCCGTCGCGCAAACATTTTGGACGCGTTGATGTGAAGTGATCAATTGCGCTCTCGCTCGGGACGTGCTCATTTCGGCGTATCCTACGACGTTGTGTGTTGGGAGGCCTGATTGCCTTTAAAGAAGTTTTGCTAGGGGGGTCGCGAAACGAACTGGACGACCCCCCGATGTTCACTAAATCATCAAAAATAAGGCTCTCGCTCGAGACATCCTCAAAATTTCGTTGATTTTTTCAATTTTTTTACGTTATGAAAACATCAAAATTACGCACTTGCGTCGGACAGTCGGCCTGTTTTGAGCCTGTGCTCACTTTTTGTTATCTTGATGCTATTTTCAAAAATCGCGCTCTCGCTCCAGACGTCCTCAAAATTTCGTTGATTGTTTATCGATTTTATCTTTTTCGAAACGATCAAAATTGCGCTCCCGCGCGGAACGTCTTCAAAATTTTGATGATGTCGTAAAAAAACGCGTTCCCGCTCGAGACGTCCTCAAAATTTCGTCGGTTTGTCTTCTCAAGGGTGAGGTTCTTGGGGGGTCGTTTTAGTATAGGTTTAGTATAGGATTCCTTGGCTTCGTTCTTCGTGTGTTTGGTCGTTTAAAGAAAGATTTCTATACCAATTCTATACTAAGCTGTTTCGCTCAAGGTCGTTCTCTCTCAACCAAAAACGCGCTCCCGCGCGGGGCGTCTTGAAAATCTTGATGAATCAATCTTTGAAAATCGCGCTCCCGCTCGAGACGTCCTCAAAATTTATCGTTCTCAGTGGATCAAAATCGCGCTCCCGTGCGGAGCGTCTTGAGTCTTGAAATAAAAATGGGCTCACCTCGATACGTCCTCGAAATTTCGTCGATACATCTTCTCAAGGGTGATTTTCTTGAGGGTATGTGTCAGTATAGGCCTGGTATAGATTTTGCCGGATTCGTCGTTAAAAATTCGACTTTCCAAGGAACGATTTCGAGCCTGAGCGCCTTGAGCCAGGAGACGTGAGGATGGTTTTTACGTTTAGGGGAAAAGGGCAAACACCGAAAAGAGGTTTCACAAAGAACTTCACGAAAGTTTCAAAACCCTTGCAAGACCAACTTGATTGTACTGACATGTCTGACGCAATGCACTCGGCTTTTTTCTCAAAAGGTGTGAACGACTGGCTCCAGAGACTGTGCTCCAAACCTAGCCTGGCAACCTCTTGCACCTAAAGGCTTTGCGGCACCTCGAACCTTGAACCTGGGCACCTTGCATGCACAGAAGCGGACAGGCGTGTGGTGTCCGTCCCCCCCACATAGCTTAAACGCCACTACGGCGACACAAAAGAAAGTGAGGAACAACTTAATTATGCAAAGTGAGACAGGCAGGGAGTTGTGAGCCGCCCTGCGGACCCTGGCCTGTCCCAATCTGACGCAAGCTTAACAGCAAGTTTGTGTCGTTAACAAGTCGCCACTCCTGGGTGGGCAGGGTGGGTCAAAAAACTTGACTCAGGCCAAAATCTCGCATGAAGACAAGGTCAACTTTTGCACGTGCATGTTCAATGCGACTGAAAGCAACTCAAGACCGAAGTTTCAAAACGATAAAATCCAAATCATGTTTTTCACTCCTCAGGCACTCTGGCTGGCACACAAGGGACTCAAGTGTAATGCCCATAAACCTATAGCCCACCCACCACCCTCAAGGCTCCTAGACTCACTATGGACAAGTCCAGTCCGCGAGCCTGAACGCCTTGAGCCAGGAGACTTGAGGATGGGTTTTAAGTTTAGGGGAAAAGGGCAAACACCGAAAAGAGGTTTCACAAAGAACTTCACGAAAGTTTCAAAACCCTTGCAAGACCAACTTGATTGTACTGACATGTCTGACGCAATGCACTCGGCTTTTTTCTCAAAAGGTGTGAACGACTGGCTCCAGAGACTGTGCTCCAAACCTAGCCTGGCAACCTCTTGCACTTAAAGGCTTTGCGGCACCTCGAACCTTGAATCTGGGCACCTTGCATGCACAGAAGCGGACAGGCGTGTGGTGTCCGTCCCCCTCCAAAGAGAACAACACACACCTGGCAAGCTCACCAAGCAGTTCTTGTTGCCTCCTTCTCGCGCTTACCCATGGCTGCCTCAGCTGCCTCCTTGGCCTTCAACGTGACAAGCGTGGCTCTAGTCTGATCAAATTCGGCCTCCGCGCGATCAAGTTCGGACAGGAGTCCCAACGGGAGCATCGCGAGCGTCAATGCAATCCGGCGCTCAGGATCAAAAGCACTAAAGTTGCCATTATAGTGAGATCGTCGGCCCAAGTGTTTTCTTCACGCCGACGCCAATTAAGCAGCAACCTTTTGTTCACTTTGCGCAAAGCCTTGCTTGTTGCCATCTGGATCCCAAACAATGGCCACTTGGTTGACAATCCCTTGCGCTGGACCTCCGGGGTCGAACGGCTGTCCGTCTCCCCACACACGAACACCTGCAAGCAGTCCTGCGCACCTGGAATCGGCTGCGCCAGATGCCCAAAGGCCACTAAGGCTGCAAGTGACGCCAAGAGCTCTGCGGAAGTCGAAGCCCAACCAGACTCTCCATTCTTAAACAGGCAAGGCAGGTCGCAAGGGAACACCTCTAGGGAAAACCCGGGAGCAAGCGGGAGCAAGCTTCGGGTCTAAGCCAGACTTGGTAGACCAGCCACCTAGCACAACCCTACCGGTTTCGCACTTGGCATCCGTTCTAAACGACTCGCGCGGAGCTAGCCACGTCTGCTTCACCGACTGCATGCCGTTTGAGGATTTCAGCTCATCTCTGATGTAGCACAAGGAAATGAAAGCCATCGCAGGCAAGCGCGCTACAGTGCCCTGCGCAACACAGCGTTGAAAGCGAACAGAGGTGCCAAGAAGGGACGAATCCAGTTGAGCAATCTTGCCACGAAGTTTAGCCTCCCCACTCCAGAACCCACTTGACCCGTTTTGGTGAAAAGGC